CATATTCAACCAATATGTAAACCAATCCTCCAACACATCAGTCAATCGTATAGCACATTGATCAATCTTCTTCCAATATGTCAATTAATCTTTCGGCTCAATGTTTATACTCTTGATCAACATAGGGCTTTTAAATTTGATGTTTGATCCTTTGATTTGACATTTGATTCTTTAGCTTGACAATCGATCATTTCACCTTTACTTGAAGAATCTTTGATATCACTTGTCTAAGAAACAAAACTAAAATAAGGTTAGTTTATCAAATTCATCAATTAATTTTATCAATAAGATTGACTTAAAATGATATAACATATTCTTAATAATGCAACATCTTAAATTAAATCGACAAAGTAACTTAAAAATGTACGTGGATTGATAATTAGTACAAGTAATTATGTTAAGGACATAATTATTGTAGTGAGAAATTATATAAATAAAATTTGAATCCTTTACGTTTTTACCTAGTATTATCGGAAAGAACTGATTGAACATCAAAATAATTAGCAACACAAGTTAAACCAAAATTTGAATATCTCCTCCATGTTGGTAGTAATAGCTTCTCACCTTTTGTGGAAACAAAATGGCTACTTTTAATAAACTAAGTACAAAAAAAAAAAAAGTCAATTTGGACAAGGAGAAAGCAATCTTGAATTGATGTATTTGTGATCTGATATATGTTTTGAATGACGCATGAAGCTTCGATTAGGAAGAGACAATTAAAGTAGGAAGAATCATGTTGGGCCGAAATGGAACATGTCAGAAGATTGGACGTTAAGCCAAAGGATCAGTCGACCTATCAGCAGAAGGCTTCGGGCCATAAGTTCAGGCATCGAGCCAAAAAGAGCGAAAATTACGCCAAGAAAATCGAAGTTGCGAAAGTCAACTAGCCGATTGGGCAATAGGCCGCAAGAGAGGACGATGGATTGAAGAATCGAATGAAGCGTCGATGAACCAATGACATATCGAACAATATTTGATTCAAGCTTTGTAATAATTATCTAGATTGAAGTAGGTTTTAGGCGTAATTGGGTTAGAATTAGGCCAACTCAATTAGTGGCCAATTAGGCCAAGTCTAGGAGGTTGTGTTGAGCTAAGTGAGTTGGATGGAACCATCGGTGGCATAGTCTCCGAGATTGTGTCAGGTAGTGGTAGCGCCAATCTAGGCGGTGATACCACCAGACTCGGTCTCCGAGACTGTCAAGCGGTGGTACCACCAGTTTGGGCGATGGTACCACTAGTTTGGGCAGTGGTATTGCTAGTATGGGTGGCGGTACCGCCCAGCACAAGCGATGATACTACTATACCTCGAAAATCGGGGATGAGATACTTTTAGGCTCCAAGTTTGCATCCACTTGAGGCCTATAAATATCCTTCTTATCCCTAGTTAATATACACAAAAATTGAGAGCAAAAAAAGGAAGAAAACGCTATTGTAATCTTGTGAGAACTCCTCTCAAACTCTAAGTATTAATAAAGTTTAAGAGAGGAGATAGTGGGGGTGTAAAGGTTCTCTCTTGAGCTTGTCAAAAGGAGAATAGAGTTATAAGAAGGTGGTTAGTCTTCGCCTATTAAAGGAAGACCGCTAGTGGATGCTAGTGGCCTCGACGGAAAAGGAATTGAGAGTGGATGTAGGTCACAACGACCGAACCACTATAATTTCGGTGTGTTCTTTCCTTATTGTTTATTCTATTTACTGCATTGCAAACTATCCAATCCCCTCTTCTCTATTCACTTGCAAACTTATACGAGTCAAACAAACGGTTTTCGTCATAATCAGTTTTTATCATACGAAGATTGTAAGTAATAATCCCAACAAAATATAGTTAAAATTTAAGAGAGGATGTAGTAGGGGATATAAAGGTTCTTTCCTAAGCCTGTTAAAAAGAGAATAGAGTTGTAAGAAGGTGGTTGGTCTTCACCTATTAAAGGAAGACTGCTAGTGGATGCTGGTGGCCTTGACGGAAGAGGAATCGAGAGTGGATATAGGTCATAACGACCGAACCACTATAAATTCTGGTGTGTTCTTTCCTTACTGCTTATTCTATTTACTACATTGCAAACTATCCAATCCCTTCTTCTTTATTCACTTGCAAACTTATACGAGTCAAACAAATAGTTTTCGTCGTAATCAGTTTTTATCGTACGAAGATTGGAAGTAATAATCCCAACAAAATATAGTTAAAGTTTAAGAGAGGAGGTAGTAGGGGGTGTAAAGGTTCTCTCCTAAGCCTGTTAAAAGAAGAATAGACTTGTAAGAAAGTGATTGGTCTTCACCTATTAAAGGAAGACCGCTAGTGAATGCCGATGGCCTTGACGAAAGAAGAATCGGGAGTGGATGTAGGTCACAACACCGAATCACTATAAATTCTGGTGTGTTCTTTCCTTACTACTTATTATGTTTACTATATTACAAACTATCCAATCCCTCTTCTCTATTCACTTGCAAACTTATACGAGTCAAACAAATGATTTTTGTTGTAATTAGTTTTTATCGTACGAAGATTTTCAAAACCGACGTTTTTATCCGCTGCACTACTTCACACACACCCCCGCCTCCCACTCTTAGTGCCGACTTGATCCTAATAGAATGATTTCGGGATCAGTTTTGTTTAGTGTTGGAATAACTACGTGAGATCCGGATTCTAATTGTAATAAAATGCTATACAAATTAGAAGCAATGGCATAGAAAAGTTGTGCTGATGGTAAGTAATAATCCCAACAAAATATAGTTAAAGTACCCCTAATTAATTCATAAGCTCTTTTGGATATTTGAATTGTGATAGAATATTATATTATTAGATTATAAATGAATATCATCTAATAGTGATTGTTCTATCAATATGTGATAAGACTGGTATCTCAACCAATGACACATCAATATCTAAAATCTAAGGATAGATTATGGTCAAGTAATTTTTATTGAATCCTATTAATCCAACATTGATACTTGAAGATGAATTATCTTGAATTAAAAAATTGAGATCCTGACCATTCATGTTGAAATATTGATGGGACTATGAATGGTTAACCAAGAGCATATGTATGAGTTGAGATCAAATTTAAATTACATTTTTCTTGTTGTTTTACATATTTATTAATCCACTGTGTTCCATTGATATGATTATAAATTGATTTGGTAAACCATTTTAAGTTGGATTGGGCTACTTGTGAAAGGGCTATAAGTGATAATATATGAGATTTTCTCATCTATATAATAAATGATATTTTTTCAATTGTACGAAGAAATCTCGCTGCTCAATTGAGGAAATCTTCTCCTTTAATATGTATAAATAGACATCGTATCAAAACTAATGGAAGAGAATATTTTTTTGCCTTTACAACTTCATTCTGTGTTCTATTAATAAGCACATAGTGTGCAACTGCTATTATACTATGTCTCACATGTCTTATATTATGCATGAATTCATACTCTTGATAATCATATGACAAATTAACTCTTTCTACATAATTAGTATCTTATCGTCTATATATATTTTTTAAATACATGCACCGTGTGATATATAATGACGATGTATATAAAAATATTATTTTCTAAATAGGTCAAGTCTAACACTAAAAGATCGATTTCCTTCGTGGATCATAAGGTTGTAAGAGACAATAGATCTTCCATTAATCGTTAAGAGAAACATGTCTTTATCTACTTTGAGGTATGATATAAGCTCCTTGTGTAGTAGCCATGGTGAGATAAAAGAAGTAATCCTATGAAGTGATGTCCCTCTACCAGTTAGTGAGAGAATGTATTATTGAATATCCAACTATGTCATGATGTTATTGATGATGATTATGCATGCATGTACTAATTTTTATGTATTATTTTACATAAGAGAATGTGATAATTAAAGGAGAATATTACTCTTTTCGAGAGTGATGTGGTTTCTCCTTCATTATTTGGGAGTATGCATCCATCAAAGTCCTGTTCATATGGCTCATGTATTTATGAACAACAGTATAAGGAGTATGCTGCATGAGTTCTTATAATCTGCACATAATAAATACTTGACTATTAATATACATTTGCACTCCTACTTGTTGGTATCTTCCTATTCCATAAGAAGTCTTTCTTCGTTGATCCCCATTTGTTTGTTGCAGGATTGTTACAGAGGATACAGCACACCAGTGACAAAAGCAGTCCATCAATAGCTTACCCAAGTGGAATTAGCTTCAAAAGATCAGGATCATGAACTGAGGTCATTCTCAAATCTATGAGTAGCTTACACATGAAACCAACCTTCCAAATTAGCAGTATCTCAATAAAACCTTGAATAAAAGTTGAGAGACAGCATTCCATGAAGACGAAGGATACACTTCTTAACATCTCAACTCCTTCTTCGGCCATAGCTTTACTCCACAGATTAAGTCCCAATTGGTAGCCAGTAGACTATTTATTACAAGCCCATCGGTAGCCAATTGAGAACAGTAGAAAGAAACTGTGAACATAATATAAGTAAAAATTCAAGAGACGAAAGCATACTTACCAACCATACTTTAACTCAGCTAATTGATATCATTTTGAACAAAGAGATTGCTGACTAATTTTTTATGAGGTGTAACTTCCCTCCCTCCATATATGCAACTATTAGGAAAAGAGAACAGAGACAAAAGTCCAGTTTGTGTGGTTTATTTGCAGATGTAGCTGCAGATTTCATAAACTTAAGCCCCAGACAAAGATGAGAATTCATGCTATTCATTCAGCACCGTTCCATGCAACTGAAATAGCTCCAGATTTTACAAAGATATCGACCGGATGCTGTCTAACGGGCCACAAGGAGTCTCAAGCTTCCTGGACTTCAATATTTATAGAAAAATAATGAATTGGGAAAAATAATTAATACGACACCCAATTGAATTGTTCAGCAGAGAAGTTTCTGTTTTGAGGCGGAAAGAAAGCAAAGAATGAATAAAACCATATTGTCAACTTAAGTAGTCCTGAAATATTTATGAATGTCCATCGAGGTTGCATGCCTTTGCTGCTTCCTTTACTTTCACTTCTCTTGCAACTTGTAATGAATTTTTTGCTTCTGAATATACACTCTGATAGTTCAGCAACAAGTTTAAATACCAAAACATCCTACAGCTCCTATTCTAATTATTTAATCATTTTTCTCTTTTTTCACCTTTTTTATCTCAAGTATCAATATCCTCTTATCTTCAGTTTATACTGAACACTATAAAGATCAAGCCTACTTGTAGTTGTTTCACGCTGACAATTGTTCTGCAAGCCACTGTTCGATATCCTTTTTGCCTTCTGCAAAATAAAATAATAAATATGACTTCATATAATAAACATTTAAATCAAATTACATTTTAAAAGTATAATTCATCTTCCCAAAGAACAATATACATGTTTCCAATATGAAAAATGGATAGACAGAACAACAGAAACCATGGGCAGGCATCATATCCAAAAAATAATTGTGGTAGAAGGTATGGGTAAAGTGTTCTGACAAGTTTATCTTCTGCGAAACTCCACTTAGACCATTATCATGCAATCGAATTTTGAAAATTTAAGGAAAAAAAAAAGCTCTTGATGATCAACAACACAGAATTGCTTCTAAGAGAAAATTTTTGGAAGAGAAACAGGACCACAAGGAGTAGCTGTGAACAACACAATACAAAATAACAAAATATTGCTTTCAATAACATACAAAACAATACACAAACAGAAATAGATCTGTACAAAACAATATGGAGCTTGCACTATGTAACACCACATCAAGGGAAACAGCAAAAATCAAAAGGCATTTTTAAATGTAGTTCCTTAAGTTAGATCCACTTGCACATTGTGGGTCTACAACTCTAAACTGAAGAACTTTTAGAAACTATAAGCATGGTGCTTCTCCTGTACTGAAATTCTGTGTTTAGTCCATGAAAAATCCAGCAAGGAAGATAAATGAAAGTGAGAATTCAGTGCCTCGGAGATTGCATGGAAGTGCTCATAATTAGACTGACACTGTGATCTGGTAAGGATAGGAACAATATCTCCATCAAGGTGGTCGATAGTCGAGACCTAAGACCTCATGATGCAATGTGTGAAGCGTCTAACAGCATAATCAAATTAACTAAATTGATGCACAACAGCACAAGGATATGAAAGGCATACCTGTATGTGTAAGTGTGTCTAGTCTAGCATACGAGTTCCCTAAGGCCTAAACTAAATCTGTTGCACCTGTTAGGATGTGCAGTGTCATATGCCTGTGGTGCCCACTCAACATAGATGTGGGGTCCCTCTAACGAGAGGAAGGACTTGTTGTGGAGGAGCGACGTGGATGGTTTTATCTGCACATTCAAGTACATCTGGCAATGCAAAAACAAGGTTGTGTTCCTCTGTTTGTGCATACAAAACATTGTGTTGAACCAACTTGAGAAATCATACAAAGCAATTGATACCCTGACTGCCTATCCAATGTTTAATAGCTAAAAGGTTTAAAAAGTTATATTTAGACAAATTTCAGAATCCATGTACTAAGTTGGCATCTTAGAAAATTTCTCAGTGCAACTTGTAAATCTTTGGAGTGTTGGGCTGATAGCCCATATTCAGCCCATGTGGGCTAGGGCAGTCCACAGCCCACACCCCCTCTTAACCTAACCCTAATTAAGATTAGGGGATGTGGTGGCTGCGTTTTAGATGCAGAAAAAGATTATAAAAATGCAGCAACGAGGTAGATCTTTAGGGCGACGGGATTCCAAAGAGAAGAAGGAGAACAAGGCAGAAAAGGAAGAGAAAGAAATGGAAGAAGACAAGGACAATGCAGAGAGACTGTTCTCAATCATCTAGCAGTGTTCTCATCTCAGGTTAGATCAAATCTACAGTAGACTCTTGCTGTGATTACTTGGGGAGGTTTTAGACATTGTAGGCAGTGATGTGATCCTTGTATCCCAGTTATTCTCTTGTGGTTGTTGCTAGGGTTTAGAGCAAGAGATTGAGATTTGTATATTCATTATTCTCATAGTGGATTATCTCTAGTTTGCCCCGTGGTTTTTACCCTTCACATTGAAGGGGTTTTCCACGTATATCTTGGTGTTCTGTTTGATTGTGTTTATATTTATTCCGCTGCGTATTATGGTCTTCTAGTATTTGTTCATATACAAAGGTTATTCCTCTTTATAACCCCATCAACTGATATCAGAGCAGGGTTTTGGTGATTTAATTTTTGTATTTGAACATGGAGGCCAGTAATATTTCTCGTATGATTAGTTTGAATGGAAATAATTGGATGATATGGAAACCAAGAATGGAAGATCTCTTGCATTGCAAAGATTTGTATGGACCTTTGCAGGGGGATAGTGCAAAACCTACAACTATGACAAATGATGAGTGGAAGAGGTTAGATCGAAAAACAATTGGGTTTATTAGACAGTGGCTTGATGATAGTGTCTTTCACCATGTTTCTACTGAAATTTCTATATATTCTCTTTGGAAAAAATTGGAAAGTCTCTATGAAAGAAAAACAACTGGCAACAAAGCTTTTTTTATCAGAAAACTTGTGAACCTAAAATATAGAGAGGGTGCTTCTATTGCTGAGCATTTGATTGAAATACAGAGTATTACTAACCAGTTATCCTCTATGAAAATGTCTCTTGATAATGAGTTGCAAGCATTGTTACTTCTCAGTTCATTACCAGAAAGTTGGGAAACACTAGTGGTTTCCCTTAGTAATTTTGCGTCAGATGGTATTGTCACTATAAGTCAAGTAACAAGCAGTTTATTGAATGAGGAGTTGAGAAGAAAGAGTTCAGCAACATCTCAGAATGATTCACAGGCACTTATCTCAGAGAACAGAGGAAGGTCAAAGT